CTGGATCTGTCGATTCGCGAACGTGGTCCCTGGTGCGATGTACGTAGGAGTTGGATTCAGGGGTTTTCAGTTGGTGGAAAAATGGGACGGTTGTTTTTGGCATCGAAGAAAACGTTATTGCGGTAATGTAATTAATAAGCAGAGATGGGCACAATTTTATTCGAATAATACACAGTGAGAAGCAGCAGTATCTAAGATCCGTCATCCTGCCCTTTAAACAGTTCATCAGATTAAATAATTGTTTGCAAAGTGTCTACTCATTCAAGAGGAAATATTTTAGGATAAAAATTAATCAAGTAAAAATGACGAAATATTTTTTTCATATTTTATTCGTTATTCGAAACTTTTTATCTAGATATTGAATTTACCCATCTCTGCTAATAAGTTGCTCGATGGTCTTTGCTAGAGTAATGGAGTCTGCATTTGGGAACTGCTTAGACCAAGTGGATCTTACATTAAATAGGGTGTACCAGTTGGGGTAGTACAATAGAATAAGAGGTAATAAGTCGATGAAAACAATAAAATTTTTCTGGATGATGCTTGGTTTTCGAGATAATCGAATTTGAAAATTTGTTGGATACACAGACAGTAGAGTAAGACTTGGCTGTCGCGTCTGTTCATTGCAGGCCGTTTCTACTTATTTCCAGTACAGATGCGCGTGATGTAGATAATTGTTCAGACCTAGTTTTTTCGAAAACGAATTTATTCTTTTTTTCCGAGTTTTCTTACAGAATCACCTCTAAAGGTAATCGTTCCCTTTAACTGTAAACATGACGTTTTTAATCAACTGAAAAATTGATTTTGTTTTTAAAGAATTGTCATGATTAATTTAACGGAGGATTATCTCAATTACAAGAGTATCAACAGCTTCCTTCCACAATATTAAACCAACGGCAACGCTTCAATTCTTTTTCCCACAATTTCATTGTCAATCCCATCGGCCCTTAAATCGCGCAGCGTTACATCGTCATCGCGTATAGATCTTTTGTTATACATTTTCACTCGCCTCGTTTTTCCGATGACATCGACGTCGAGCCGTTTTGACAAATACAGGGATTTCGAAACGTTTGTTCGCGGCCAACAATTTTCAGCGAACGCCCGTTCCGGGTAAATATTCGGTAAAAGTGATATTGAATATTGTTTACGATTGTGTAACACCTTCGGGATCATCGTCCGATAAACAACGTTTACATCGTCGTGAATTAGATAATCAGTCAATTGTGCACTTAATTTGTTAGGTCGAAGCGTTCTCTAGATTGTGTGACAGAGAATTGTCAATATAATAAACGGTTACCCGGCAATATGATTCACGTATGACGCTGAGTCGTGTTTGCGTTTCGCGTTACGAGCGGAAAACGCGACATTAATATCGCGAGTGCATCGTAACATTTCTAATATCGATACAAGAGTCACGCGTGTGACAGTTCGAAGGACGAGGGCAAATATATGTATATATATTTTTATGTCTTCATATATCGGAATCATCTGGTACGAGGACTGAGCAAATACTGAGCCTTCGAGCGCTCGGTTATGATGTGTATTAATCGAGCAACATAAATATTGCTATCTCTTGTGTTGCTTTCCCTCCACCTCTCGATTCTCTGTGGTCAAATCGGAAATATTGTTTACTTTTTTTTCCATCGAACCTACGGTTGTTGTGTATGACTGGATGAAAATTACGCCTGTTGTACCTTCGCTTATGTGAATCTTATTACTTTCAACTTCCATCGCGTTTGTCATTTTTTTAAAGTCAAACTCGTAATGAACTGCTTAAAAATGAGCACAATAGCGTTTAGCAAAAGCTGGACATAGCATTAAAATGAGTCTTTAGTATTTATTTTTGAAGAGTTACCTCTGAAAACAGGTTTTTCGTGACAATAGTTTCACTCTATGCTACATAGAATTTAATTTAGTTCAAAGTTCAAAAGAAAAATTAAATATTAGAAATTAAATCCCCTTCTAAGATCCTAAGCATACTATGCGAGACAAAGTTCCAAACGAAATTCTCCCAACCCAGAATTTTTCTCCACATATGGAACTATGAATGTCTTAACATTTGGAAGGAAATAGTGGGCGTCTCTACAATGCGTGTTGTTTTGATGAGTTAATTGTGTGTTCCCGGTAACGCAACACTACATGCAAATGATGGCAATGGCACAATTACGACGCAATTCGTAATCTACCTACGGTTTCCTCAATTCGAGAATACACATCCACAGATATCTTCTCGTACAGTCGTATCACAAAAATTTGGCAATACTTCAAACAACATCGTACCAGTCCAGCAAACTCCCATATTACGATCCCCACTGTATATACCCTAAAAATCAATCATTAGACTATGTATGTTCATTTAAGTTCAAATATTTTCATACATCATTGCCCAAAAACTAGAATCGAAATAAAATTAACTTTATCTACTAAAGGATCTACTAAACAAAAAATATAATAAAAATTTAGTTTAGTAAATTTTTATAGTATTAGGACACATAATCTATTCAAGGAAGCAGATTTTTTGTAAAAATTATAATTTCCGGCCACTTATATTACTTCACAGTAGTACAATCTATCCAGCTTTAATATCTCCTAAACAATATTTATTTCAGTCTCCCATTAATTTCATAATGCACACAGCCTCGTACGATCACCCACTCAGACACAACTAAAAAATCCTTACAACTCACACTCTAAAGTGATCTTCAATTCAAACCTCCGAATCACGCGTGTCGACGGTCTCGACCCAGCCAACTCGATCCCCTTTGATAGCGACCTCGCCTACCTCTAGGTCCCCAATCGACGTACCAAAGGTTCGCTAATCAAATCCACTTAAGTATAGCACCAGATAACGAGAAACTCTTTTCACGGTGTGTCTGGACGTCCGGTGGTCCGTGGAATGAAGTACAGTAATGTTTCGATGAGTGCAACGAACTCGGATCCGCTTCGGAACATTCCCCAGATCGCACATGACGCCTTAAACACGCCTATTTTACGGCTATTTTACGTCTAAGGCGCCTTTAAACCCTTGCCTTACGATTTTTTTTGACGACTGTACGCTCAGAAATTACTTTACCGTTAATAATTTCCCAGATATAAAAGGAATTTTATTCTTAGGGCAAGTGCAACATTTACTCTAAATCTTAAATATTAATACCAATGAAACAGAATTTCACTTCGACTCAAAGAAAATGAATAGTATATATGTTTATTAAATCCAGTTTGAAATCGTCATCACGAGTCTGACTCGATGTTATAAACCAAGGGGTTAAGCCGTCTTTACGGCGTCATGTGTTATGAGGGTCGTGGCAAGACGGAAAGGTATTCCAGCCACTTCTAAATTTGTTTTTTGAACGAAGCCGAGCCTCTGTTTACTCTGTCCTGTTTATTCTAATTGGCGCCAGAAGGGGTCCCCTCCCAGTGGTGGGAATAACGTCGTTGTTCCTGTCGCATTCATCGAGGAATTACTGTATCGAATCGGCCGATCCAGGAAAAGAAGGATGACGTGTCGCGGCCTCGTCTCAAGGGGGATGAACGCGGGACACAAGAGTTTACATTGTGTTCGTCGGGGCAGAAACAGGCGGATCGTTTAACCCCGGGACGCGACAAAGGCTCGTAATGAGAACATGTGTTGGATGCAGGAAGCTTCATTAGCGGACCTGTTCCTTCCGCGGGGCCCATTGTAGCGCGAGACGAAACGTCTGCGCGGCGTTTGCGTTGCGTTGCGCGGGATTCTTTGCGTGTATGGATACGCAAGCTCCCCATATAACCGACGGGTATTTGTCGCCACGATGGTAAACATGAATTCTTAATTGCGGAAATGGGCCCCCGTGCCGATGGATGATCGTTACTGGCGACCTGGAAATCGGGGGTAATTCGAACGTCCCGTAGAATAATCTCTAGATAACTTTTGGAAAATTTCATCCTTCTTTTTAACGATGAAAGTATTTTCGTGTGAACACTGTTGACGAATTGCTGGAAGAAGTCGAAATATGGTTGTAGGAAGGAGTAGCAATGCGGTAATGTAGATCTATTTTAGATTGATAGGATTGGAGGAAATTACAGTGGGAGAAGAAAGTACAGTAGAATCTTGATTATTGGGACACCGTTTATTCGAACGTTGTTTAATACAGTGTTTCGTTTTTGGAATTTCTATGCACGGCAGAAATATGTTGCAAATAGATTTTTGTTGACATTATATGTGCCGGTGATTATGAAAGTGGTATAAGGCAGAAATGTAAAAAAGGGACACGTATCACTTATTTGGTGTTATATTGATTTACGTTACAATAATACGAAAGCATTTTTAAAGAATACTTAATTGACTCAGGCCACTTTTATAATCATCGGCACATATATGCATGTGAATACTGTGTAATAAATAATGTTTTTTTTTTTCGGTTTTTAACAATTTGTATAATTGGTGTCTGACTGTACTCGTATCCTTTTGCTTTCAATTAGTATGTTGCCTCTAGTCGAATTTTATGTTAAAGAATAATGTTAAGTGAAGAAATATTTATATCCGATTGTTTAGTAATAATTTGACTTTCTATTCTGGTTCATTTATTTAGTGTTATGCTGATGTTTGATTGTCGAATCAAAGCCAGAGACACCAGCGTATGAGTATTTGTTTTCCGCTGTGGTATGCACCGTGTAACGTTGTTTCGTTCCTAAATGGTTTGTATCAGTTACACCGAGTCAGCGTGAATTTTTAATTGCGGAAACAAACCGCACGCCCACTCGTGCCTCCCGCCGACCAGTCCAATTATAGATGGACCATGAACGATATCGGTTAACTGGTTGGTCCGTTTGATAATCGTCACAAATCAAGCATGCATTTCCTGGCTTCCAGCGATTAGGATTCTGATAGAAAATTATGTAACTAAATCGTAGCGGAAATTTACGATCTTCGTTGACTGCAACAGTCTCGCCGTGAGTTCCCGCGAAAACAGTCTAAAAAAAATATTCTAGAATAATTACAACAATATTTTGTTCTTTTTTTCCAGCTTACGGCGGGGTCCGGGGGCTAACGTGCAAGACACCAGTGGATACTCCGCCCTTCATCACGCAGCTTTGAACGGTCACAAGTACGTTTTCTCCTGATCGGTGACGAATTCGTGCGCGATCTTTAATCGGATCCCATTTATTTAATCATTCGTTCACTTTAACGAAACGACCCGTGGAACATGATGAACGCGGGAATCGTTTTCGTCACGTTTCTCATTAATATTCCCTCCGATCCGCCTATTAATCGACGTCGGGAGCACATTCTGACGGTAATTCGGGGAAACGCTTTTATCCTCAGGGAGGTGGTAAAGTTATTGCTCCAATATGAGGCTTCCACTAACGTCGTCGACGCTAAAGGCTCTTCGCCGCTTCATTTGGCAGCTTGGGCGGGCGACGCTGAAATCGTGCGGTTAATTCTTACCCAAGGACCTTCGGTACCTAAAGTGAATCTTACGGTCAGTGAATTTATACCTCTTATTTTTTTTATTCTTTAATTAAAACAAACGACGGACTATTAATATTTTCGACAATCTAATACCTATCTTGACAGATGAAATCGGTTCTGAATATATGAAAATCATTTTTAAAAAAATTACATCACTCTATCGAATCTAAAGAATAACATATAGAACATGTTACATTTCAAAAAGAACATTCAGTTTCTCGAACATTTCCATGTCCAAAGTTTTGTCTAAAAATTTCATTGGTCGAATAATTCAATTTTCCTACAAATCGCCTTGTCGTCGTTTCTGTGCATATCATTTGATCTGTTTCATAGAAGTAATGGTACACTTTTGAGAAATCGAACTGCTTCTGTTTTCTGACCAAATAATAAAGTAGGACCTTCGCTGCCATACGACGTTTTCTGTTAATACGGCACTTCCCGTTGGTCCGAATCGAGAGCAAGTAATTTGTTAACTCGGAATACCGGTTTTTGTGTGATCGCAGACGAAGGACAACGAGACAGCGTTGCACTGTGCAGCACAGTATGGGCACACGGAAGTGGTGGCACAGCTGTTGCAATACGGATGCGACCCCAGTATCCGCAACAGCCGGGGAGAATCTGCGCTCGATCTCGCTGCACAATATGGCAGGTAAATTCCGATCATGAGGATCTTTTTTTTTTCTTTTTCACTCCTCTGCCAGTTCTCCATTTTAAATTCGAAAATACCGAAGCTTTTCGCCCTTGTCGGTTATTACTTAATGCTGTTCGTATAATTCGATCGATGACGATTGGCTAATTGGCACCGGCGCCCCCACCTGAAACGTTAATTATCTTTTATAGACTGGAAACCGTGCAATTACTCGTTAGCACGTATCCGGAGCTGATCGTGCCCCTTCGGAACTCTTCCTCGTCGGTGATTTTTCCTCATACACCGCTGCATTTGGCTTCGCGAAATGGCCATAGGTAAGTTCACTTTAAAAAAAAACTCCACGATTTTATCTTCCAAAATTATAGAAACTTACTTTTACGTATTGTCATCGAGGCCTTTTCAGTGACACCGGTTGGTAGGAGAATTTAGAGGATGTGGTACCATTTTGTTGCAGTTCCTTTGTGTTTTACGTGTGTGCGACTTTTTTGACAACTTTACGTTTTATTATTTTATGTTTTTCCCCTGGATTTCGTAAAACATTTTCCAAGATATAAGTCACAAAGTGAATACCATTTTAATTACGTGTTTTTAATATTTAGAACCCTGTTTGCTACGTCACCATGTTACGTTTTGTACGTCGGAGAATATTGTTTGTGGAATTCCATTAACTATTCCGTCCACTCTCTGTCTTAGGCCACGATTTCGATTATACCGTGTTCAATAACTAGTCAATACCGCTGAACAGTTCTCTCTTTATTTAATCAAGCTCAAGCCGATGATCGTGCATAGCGTTCGATCAACACGCGAAGGGTGGCGCGGCCCGCGCGTTTGCCAGCGGTGTCCATGAAATCTATTTTATATTGCATTGCAGATCAGGATCGCTGTTAGATTATTCATGACTCGCGGAACCCTGCCGAACCAGTGTACACTCGGCTTCCGAACGCGTACACGTATCGCACGATTAATTTGTGTTTGCCTGTGGCGGACCGAAAGAAAGCTTTTGTCCATTACATCCTGTACCTTCGGTATTAATTCATCGATACGACGATTACAATTTTCGTTGAATAACTTTCGGAAATATGATTGATGAGTTATTAGATGAAGGTTGCTGAATTTGAACCATCGATTAGGTTGGATCACTGCTGTAACTTGTTATGTGTAAGCAATTGACGCCGTATGACAGACAATATGCGTTGCTTATATACTATTGGATGTACAAATTAATTCGTGGTCTTCTTTCATAAATTTCTTGTTTGTATAGAAAAAAACCAAAATACAGTGTAGTTTTGAAAATATTCTCCATTATTTTCTACAGATTTACGCCATGTTTCAGGCATTTGGCGAATCTCCTCTTGAAAAAATAATGACGATTTTTAGTGAATGATTAATTGTGGGGGCAATGAATTTATTTGCACACCTAATAAGTTAGTTAATACAATCACCACTGCCATATACTACATATTGTGATCAAATAAGGGATACGTATTTTTCTTTATTGTCTGAGACGCGACTTTAAGGGGTGAAACCACCCCTCGAAGTTTCGACCCAAAACTTCTAATGGACGAGTTTTGCGGTTTAAATGTAGAATAATATGGCGCTAACAAATTGTCCAAAATAAAATTTGTTTATAACAAAAAAATGTCGGATCGAAACTTCGAGGGGTGGTTTCATCCCTTAAAGTCGCGTCTCAGCCGATAAAAAAAAATACGCATCTCTTATTTTTGACTGCTTAAAAAGCTAAAAAAAAAGTATTTCATCATTTGTAATTGTTTAAACGTGGAAATTTCAATTTTTCTAATAAAATAATACTTCTTTATGAATGAATCGACATTTGTCGCACAATTAATCAATCTCATTAACTGTTTAAAGCTCAGAACGACACCCTTAGATACTGCTGCTTTTCACTGTGTATTATTCGAATAAAATTCTGCCCAACTCTGCTTAACAGACATAAGAAGTTTCATCCAAATCGGAGGGTGACACTTCCGTGCCTTCCCTCGAATCTTCAACATTAAAATCGATCTATCGACACCATCGACGAGATAACGGTCCAATAGAGGCGAGATACATCTGGCAGATACTTCGATAGAAAAGTGCTGACCCGTGACTTCCCCGAAGTATGACGACCGCTCCCCCGTCATTCAACGTCTCGGAACACCGGACACTTTTTCCACAGAGCCGCGTCGCGTTAATTACTGAGTAATGCCTCCCGCGTATTGTGTCCCCGGAACAACAATGGACTCGTTTCAGCTAACCATAACGATGTCGGGCCATACGCAGCCGTTCCCCCATTAGAGCCAATCAGAGAGCACCGCGTTGCGTAATCCCGTCGAATACGATATGTATGTACGTCCTCCGAGTGGCATGATCCGAGTCCTGCGCAACCCTCTGGTGGTTACACGTCCTATATTACCATCCTGCCGATTGCCTTCTCGTTCCTCCGTTCTCGCGGAGCTGCGAATCCATTCGATCGCATCGCACCGTCAACAGCTCTGTCCATCCGTGCGGATTGCTGACCGCCTCTCGATTAAGAGGATCGTATTAATCATTACCTCCGTAACGTATCGACCTAGATCAGTCCACGAGGGCTGGCTGAAAGTTTAATACCCTTTCATGCCCGAAGGTGTTCTGTCGCTTTGATAGACGCACCACACGGTGGTCGGGGGTGGATAACGTTCCCTCGCCAGAGACTTTGTTTTAATTGCGTCGGGGGTCGTCATCGATTTCTGTATCCATTGGATGGTATTTATTATTGCTCCATTGTTTTCGAGAGGATTTCAGATGGATAGATTTTGAAACTTGATTCTTTGGTTGATCGAGATTTTCAGTGGGAATTTTGAAATTTGTTTGATTTACAGAGATTGGGAGTAAGATTTTGCGAGTGGTATGAGTGGGCTGAAAAGACGGGGGTTCGAAAGAAAAAACAATTGAGTTCGACTTTTGTATAGGACAGTTTTTGTGTAGCAGAGATGTAGGTAAGGCTGAAGTTTAAGCCTGATTTTGAGCAAGAATTTGTGACTGGTACGAGTGGGTTGAAAAGAAGGAAGTTTGAAAGATGGAACAATCGAATTAAATTTTCGCATAATACAGTATTGATATAGTGAAGAGGTAACGCCATGATCTTCCTCACTTGATTTGAGTACCTGACTTCTTGGACATCCATGTTGTGGTTACAGTCTTGATTGGACAAATTGTACTTGGAAACACTGTATAGTCACAGTTTTCTATACGTATATTATATCACGGCTTTTCTACATATAGCCTGTGAATTTTACCTAATAGAAAATAAAAAAAAATAGAACAATGCTTTCGAGTATTCTATTTAGGAGAATTACATCCAGTCTTGAAATAATCACTGGATTTTTTGAAGGTTTTTTTCCAAGCTATTATCGTATATTGTTCAAAAACACTGTATTCAAAAGAGTGTACCGTGTTTCACGATCTGAAAATAAATTTCCAAGAGTTATAGGGTAATTGTGCGTGGCAAAGCGTGTGCATTTTGAAATGTATCGCGAGTGAGTGATACACAATATATGGCTGCACGAACGATTAGTAGATTCGACGGTAACAATAAAACGCGTTTCACCGATAAAACCAAAAGAGTTTTATTTCGCCGCAAAAATGAAAAGAATCTCGCAAATATCGCGGCGAGCCCAGCCGGTGGCGTTTCGATTGATTTACTAGTATTTACACAAATAATCGGTGATCGTTGCACGGCACGGTAAAAGTGTCCAGTTAAATAAACGATATTGTAAGCACGAGCCTTTGTTATTTGATTAATCGAACAGTTCAGTCGGATGATGCTGGGATTAACCGGATAATCGGTTGCACCGGTGCTCTGTGCAATTAAATAACGGGAATGAATTTCGGCCGTGGGTACAAAACAAATTCTTTCGTCGACTTTTTACGTACGCTTCTCTGTACACCATTTTGTGTACTACACTCGTTTCATTTTTATCTAATACAAATATGGAACTGTATGGAATATCAATCAAACTTTACAATTGTACAAATATCATAGTATTAATACAACTGATCCAATATTTACCTGGATCCTTAACGGTACAATGACTCAGACTTTACAGTATATGATACTATTATTATATGAATATTGCACAATTAGTGTTTCAAAAATATGCAAATGACTGTCACAAATCACTAGACTGTGAACCTTTATGTAAATATCAATCATTAAAGGTTCTTTCATGGAAACAAGTAACAAGTAGACATTTCTTTACTGCATCAAAGATTCGGTAAAGTGTCATGTGAAATGAACATTTTACTAAAATTCATTAAACCTAGGTACGCTATACACACATAAAATTTGCAATTTACAAATCACAGTCCCACTCCGAACACTAGGTAACACTAATATTAACAAACCTGGTCTCTGCCACTGAACTTATGAATTCAAACTATTCCACATTTGACGATTGTTTCTGCAACATTCTTCAATCCTGATAATTTAAAAAAAAAAACCATGTTTTTCCAGTTGTCTCATTTTTGTGCCAAAAGTGCAATGTCATAGTTGATCACAAAGTTCTTTACTTCTTTTCCCGTACAAGTATATCAAAAAACAAACACTCAGTACAATTGTCCCTCTAAAACGCCCTGAATTTCCATCCCTCACCCCTAACCACTATCCCACGCCCGGAAGCTGCGAATCGGAATTGTATTTAACGCTTTGCTCGGCCAATTCGTTCTCATTTAACATCGCGGGCGTCACGTCCATAATCCGGCTGGTAAGCCTTTAAAATAATCGACGTTGTCGGACGAGTCGCGCGAGAGAGGGGTTACGGGGGTGGGTGAGGGAGGAACAGGGCCGAATGGGAAAATCGTTCGGCGATCGTGAATCGCCGCGAAACGGCCAGTCACATTGTAATCGGGTATAACGTCGGTTTTTCTATGCAGCTTCGCAGCCGGTAATCGCTTTAACTGGCGCTCGCCGCTTATAATGCGATCGCGTCGCGATATACAGCCCGATGAATGCATTTTCTGTCGCCGGTGACGCGCTCGGCCCCGCTCGGACTGTTTTCGATCTCTCTTCCACACATCACCCCCTCAACTGTTCGACAACCCCCTTCGTTCGACCATCCCCCCCTTGATTTCCTCGTCGATTGAGGTTGGACGGCCGATGGACCACCGGAACGGACGGGTCGAGAGACGTTTTATATGGCGAATTTTGGTGAAACAACGCCGCGTGTTTCTCTGTCGTTTGGTATGCATACACCAGTGTTTTCCAACCTTTTTTGGATCGTGCCCCACCTCCAGGCCTTAAACATCCTCGATGCCCACCTGGAATAATACTAAACCATGTTTTGAGAAAGTTTAACTTTAATAGGTACAGTAAATCCTGGATAAGTGTTCAACGGATCCTAGGCACTGAATATTATACAGGGAGTTCCGCTTAAAACATGCCACCTATATTCTCTATCTGTGATTATACGAGAAATATTGTTTGCGTAATTTAAATGGTTGGTGGAAATATTATATTTTTTAGAACACCCTGTATATTTCATAACCTAATGGCCATATGTGGCTGAAACAGATATAATTGGCTTCAGAATTCTATCACCGTGCTAAACCTCGGTAAAAAGTCAGCGTCACCTCTAAGGACCTCTCCTTGTCAGTTCCGAGGAGCGTTCGGACAGTGATCGAGGATTTACTGTACTTAAAATGAAAAATGTATGTACATGCGTAAAATTGTAGGCGATGAGATGATGAATGTTAATGATCTGCTAACTGCCTCCCAAAATATTCAAATTGTTCCTTGGTGGACGTCCCACGTTGGGAAACACTGACATACACGGAAGGTGGTCGCGAGCGTGGTCGCGAGCACGCGTTTTCCACGTGGACACACGGCTCGCGCCAGCGAGGCCTCCGAGTGTGTACACCGCTCGGTGTTTGCCGCTCGGCGGTGCACGTTCGCCACTTGTCGCTTCACGTGACTCACGGTGAACAATTAGGAGACGGATGAATAATAAGGGAGTAACCGGGCGTTTGGTGAATTGTTAACTCGTTACGGGGATGTCCCTGTTTTATGCTACCCGTTTGAATGATACGCGTTGCGAGAAAAATGACACAAGGCGGAAATATACTACCGGTCGAAAGTGTGGGACTAGATCTGGTTATTAAAGAAAGTGAAAAATATTATTGTACAGAGATGTAATCAAAACAATGTGCTAACATTAATTGGAAATGTTTCGTATATGTAATTATTCTGTAAGTTTTATTATATTGTAACACGATAATGAGTTATTGATATGAATCATTAACTCTGCTCCCATACTTTTGGTCGGTGGTGTATGTCATTTTTCGGGAGAAAGAAAATAAACTGACTCATTATGTAGGATTTCATATATTAACTCCTGGATGATGATGACTGGGTCATTTTGACCCCAGCTTTCAAGAACTTCATCCAATTTAACAGTTTCACTAACTAATTTACGTTAATAATTGTTTGTATCAATGCAAATGAAAATTAAGCGAATCAATCCCAAACTATCCCTCATTAGAATCTCCAAAAAATTCATTCCACCCCAGAATACCCAACGGAAGCCCCAGAGCTCGTAGAAAAAAAAATTACAATCTGCGCCCCCCCCCCCCAACTTCTCATCTCGTTGATTAGGCTCGAAAGGGTCCGCCGTGCAATCTCCACGGTCAAACACGACACGGCTCTCTCTCTTTCGCGAGTGTATGTACGAGCATTTTGAATGTTTGGATAGGCAGCAGGCCTCCTGGTCGCTGCGCCGCGCGCTGAACTTGCGCTCCTGTGTGCGACCCTCGCTTATCGGTGTTGCACGTGCGGAGGTACACACGGAACCGATGTCCAGTGTACACAGGTCGAAACGCGGTTCGGGAACACGGTTGTGTACCGATGCACACTGCGATGATTGCGTTCACGCACGCGTTTCACGCGCTCGCCACGATATTTGGCGGATCGGCCGAGCGCAGGGGTTGCGGCGACGGCTGGGAGGAAAGAGACACCCTGGCCGAGAGGGAACGTGGTTTCGGAACGAGGGTGGGAGAGGGAGAGGCTGGGAGTAATGTCTATTATCGGATTCAATATCGGTGCTCTTGGTAAGCCGGTATACAAATACCCCTATGGCACGGTAATAACAACATAGGTGCACGTGAATCCGATTCCCAGCCACGAATCGTATATGCGACGGATGGCTGCGGTCACTGCAGTCGGAGGGCAGGGGGTTACCTACCAGACTGATACAAAACGAAATCTCTGGGTTTCGCGCTCCCAGTCCGACGAAATGGGAAACGCTGGCGGAGCTGGCCACTTTCTGGCTGACGTCGATTCGGCTCGCTCCCTCGCGAGGGGAGCCGTGATAGATTTCAAGGGAGAGTGAAAAAGGGAGAGTTAAAGATTCTTTGATATTCTTGATTTCTTGTGGGGGAATTGCTTTGTTGGGTATCGCGATTATTTTTTTGGCGAAGAATGTGTTGTCGTATGACTTGATTGTTTCTTTTTTGATGATCGTCGTGTGAGTAATTGGACAAGTTACGAGGATGACAAAGGTATATTTTCAGGATTGATACTATATTGTTAACACTAGAACTATTGGTAATAAACGCATATTTGCTTCGATCGCTGGTTAAACGTGGAAAATTGTTGAAAATTTAGGAATTTAGAAATTGACTAATTTCTTCAATCTCATATCGTAATAGAAGGTGCAAAAGATCTGAGAAAATGTATTGTCATAACATTTTAATCGTCGTTGTAAGAGTGTATTGACCAGTCATTTTGACTGGTTTGGTAGTTCTAGCGTTAAAAAACATACACTGCGTGGCATAAATGTAAAACCACCCTAAGATTTTCAGTCTTCATGTATTGTGGTTAAAATAAATACGAATCATTCTTATTCTTGGGGAATATACTCTATCCTTTTCTGGAGGAACATTATTTCTCAATTACTCTTCAGACATGGCATACTTGGTTCGTTTTTATTTTATCCATATTATATAAGAATTGAAAATTTAACAAACTATAGCTTAAATGTACTTGGTAACGAAAGAATGATCTCTTTTTGTTCCCTTGAGTTGTCCAACTGCACGCATGAACGGATTTAGATGATGTGAATGAAAACAGGTTAAAGAAAATGTTTACGGTGGAAGTAATGCCATGTGAAAATTTGTTTTTTTCTTTTCTTCTTCCAGAGCCGTTGTCGAAGTGCTGCTCGCTGCAGGCGTCGACGTAAATACGAGGACGTCTGCAGGTACCGCAATGCACGAGGCTGCACTCTGCGGAAAAATGGAAGTGGTGCGGGCACTTCTCGACAGAGGGGTCGATTTGGGCATAAGGGATTCGAGGCAGAACACGGTGCTGGATCTTTTGGGCCAGTTCCCACCCCACGTCACGCACGATATCACCGCGGTGATAAAAAGTTCGTGTCCACGAAGTACATTTTTTTTATGGAATTTGTCTATCGTTTTTGTTCGATCTTACCTTATGATTGGTAGAATTTAAGCACAGACGATTGTTAGAGTATATTACATATTTAATATTCTAAGTGGATATGCGGTAAAGGTAGACGAACAGATTCTGGAATATACCAATAACAGAGGATTCAGAAGCGTTGGAGTCAATAGATTCGATATCAATGACGTGAAGCACAATAAATTCGATAGCAACAGGCAAACATAGAATCAAAATACTGTTATATAACCACTATGTGAAGCTGTCAAAGTTATTCCAGAGATTAAGATATTCTAAAGGAATCTTTGAGATCCCTGAGAATTCAAGGGTATTAGGTGTCTTACTAATTCAGAAAGTTCCAAGTGTCACGGGGATCATCCTCGACAGAGTTTTCAAGACACCTAGAACCCACAGAATCTTCCAAATTCTCCGAAACCTTCCACCTCCTGAAATCCTCCTATATTATCGATATATCGCGCCTTCTCAATTTTACACTGTTTCTATTAAATGTATCAAGTTTTACAATGCTAATATTAAATCCTTCGAGTCTTAAACTACCAGTTATGCTTCGAAAAAGTAAATCACTTTGTATACTATGTCTATTGTGTACCTAGGAGAAAAGTATGATTCTTCTTATGATATAACATGTAGCAAACAGATATATTACTTCCAGACGATTAACACTTCTGAATAACACACGCTGTGAACAGGGCATAGGTCATCCTCCGGCGTGGAGAGCGATGCCGACAGCGAAAACTTGCCACCTATTCCGGTCCAAGGCGGCGATTCATTGGGCAGCCCTTACGAAAACGTTCGGCCGGGGGACGATCTCTCACCGGCGGAAGGGACGTCGCCGACCCAATGGCAGTTCTATCACAAGCCTCGAGACGACGATCGTCGCGTTTCCGGCACTTCCGTTATGTCTTTGTGAGTATCACTTTTTTCCCCCTGTTTCATCTCTCCACACTGCCTACGCGCGTGTCGCCGCTTGCTGTGCTCCTTTACTCTGAGTCGTAAACCGTTTTTTTTTCTGATCTTCTGCGTGTATGCGTGAATTGACCCGGTACTTGCAGCTAAGCGTTGCCAGCGAGGCGATATGAGTTTCTTATTGTCGATGTATACCTTGAGCAAGCTCTATTTTGTGTGTTTGATAGTGATGTTATTGATAGTAGGCTGTATCATAATTCTCGCGTAATGATTCAAATTGTTGATTCGATTCATTCGATTATTTCGAATCATTCTGAGCACAGTTGTGTACTATTGATACTATTGATTCTGTCCTCCTAAATGGTATGGACAGTAGTCGAGGATTATTGGAAGAGAAATTTATTTTTAGCAATGAAGGGAGTAGAATGTACAGGAAAAGAGTGTAACCAGGGGTGAACTCGCTTAAGTGTCCTGTGAGACTCGGTGTAATCAGTACTCGATGATACTCCTTTCAGTTCAAAAATAACAGAGCCTATTATGTCAAGCGGAAGTGGTAATGAACATACTCGAACGGGCGCCACTTAAAAAACAAACACCCCGTAGATACTGTCAACCACGTTTCACCGCGCCAAGAATAAGAGAAAAAGGTCACCGTAAGCCACAAAATAAAAACCGTGTGCCCGTTAATCATACAAAACAACGAGTGCGTTCGCCAACGACCAATCGCCATACCCGTCGACGCGTCCGCTGCGCCGTGTTCTCCTCTTCCCCGCGTGTATATACGAGCGAACGGTTGCACGAACTTCGAAGGAACAAAACGAAACTACCAAACGGGGGAAAAAATAAAAATAAAGAACAGGCTGGAGAGGGAGAAAAAAACACGCGATCGTGTCCAGCGGGGATGGCGTATTTGTGCTCATCAGGCGTCATCTTCGTCGAGAAAAGAATATCGCGTCGGTGCATCGGATAAGAGAGTGGAGCACAGGCTGGTAATACTTTCTAGAAAGACCGGATACATGTATACATACACAATATATATTTATATATTACACGTACATATGTATATACTTATGTATATATGTATATATTTGGTATAGGTGAGCGCATAACCGTGGCAGCTTTAATATAGGAGATGTTGGGTAAACAAAAGCGTAGACGTGGACCGGGCGGCTGGTACACGGGAGTGAATGAGCGGAGAGTGGCGAGCACAGCCGCCGCGAGTGTGCTCGCGGATGATGGTTCAACGGTGGTACCCCTCGGTTGGTATACCTCCGATGCTGGGGCGGTGTGCACCCAACGGGGCGCGAGCTGGGCAGAGGCACACAGATGAGGGAAGGAGGTAGGG